GCTGAAGTTTGTGTGTATGGGCACTTTGTATGATGGAGCCACAAGTGCCAGTAGCCGCCTGAACCCTGACCACTCAACTAAGGAGAAGACCTGGCCATTCACAGCAAGCATCTCCCCAATGCTCTGGGTGATCTCACTTACCCTTGCAATGCACCCCCCTTTCTGTCCGTCTTTTCCGTACTGTTCCAGGGTGACCTGCCTCTGCTTGGGGGGGACGGGGGCTTTGGAGTGAGAGGGGGACTTCCCTTTGGGCATGCTTCCACTGGTGCCAGGCTGAGGAAGAGCAAGGGGAAAGGGGCGGTGCCTGTGGAAACGAAACAGCCAGAGAAATTTCGCACAGCCCTACCCCTTGGCCTGGATAAGAATGTGCTAGTCCCACTCTGGCATCCTCCTGACTAGATTAGGGCCCTACTAACCCCACTTCCGCTTGGGGCTCACCCATCCCCAGAGGCTGCTGTGAGTGTGGAGCTGCTGGGGAACCATGAGGAGAAGCAGATATGTGGGTCAGTGGGTCCTGATCCAGGTTGGGGTGGGAGGGCAGCTGGTGGGGCCTCAGTCCAGACCAGGGGGTGCTGCGGGTAAGCACCTGTGGGTCAGTGGGTGTGTGAGCTCTAAGGGGCTAGGGGAACCAGGAGGCAGGGGTTGAGTCCCTCAGAGTGCTGATGGAATTAGCAGAGGTCATTGCGGGACCCCTGGCACAGCTTTACGAGCACTCATGGTGCTCTGGTGTGCTGCCAGAGGACTGGAAAAGGGCCAGTGTGGTTCCCATTTTCAAAAAAGGGAGGAAGGAGGACCCAGGGAACTATAGGCCAGTTAGTCTTACCTTGATCCTAGATAAGCTTTTTGAGAGTTATCCTGGCGCATGTCCACGAGGGGCCAGCAGGGGAGGTTATGCTTAGGGGCAACCAACACGGGTTCATTAGAGGCAGGTCCTGTCAGACCAACCTGGTGGCCTTCTATGATGAGGTCACAAAATCCTTAGACGCAGAGGTAGCAGTGGACGTAGTCTTTCTGGACTTCAGGAAGGCCTTCAACACTGTCTCTCACCCCATTCTCATTAAAAAACTAGGGGACTGTGGCATCAACACCTACACAGTCAAATGGGTCGCTAACTGGCTGGAGGGCCGCACCCAGAGAGTGATTGTGGATGGGTCATTTTCGACCTGGAGGGATGTGGGCAGTGGGGTCCCCCAGGGCTCGGTCCTCGGACCCATGCTTTTCAACATCTTCATCAGTGACTTGGATGAGGGGGTAAAAAGCACCCTATTCAAATTTGCTGACGACACTAAGATGTGGGGGGATGTGAGCACGCTAGAAGGGAGAAATAGGCTGCAATTGGACCTAGACAGGTTACAGGGGTGGGCAGATGAGAACAGGATGGGTTTCAACACTGACAAGTGCAAGGTACTGCACCTGTGGGGGAAGAACCAGCAGCATACCTACAGGCTGGGGAACTCCCTTCTTGTCAGTGGAGAGGCAGAAAAGGATCTTGGAGTCATTATTGATGCCAAAATGAACATGGGCCGACAGTGTGGGGACGTGGTCAGGAAGGCCAACTGTACCTTGTCGTGCATCCACAGATGCATCTCAAGCAGGTCAAAGGAGGTGATCCTCCCCTTCTATGCGACACTGGTCAGGCTGCAGTTGGAGTACTGCATCCAGTTCTGGGTGCCGCACTTCAGGAGGGATGTGGACAACACTAGTCAGAGGGGACCAGCAGGCATTGGGGGAGAACCTGTTACCCCTGAGCACTACCAGGAGGCACTAGAAATAATGGTCACAAGCTGGCAGAGGGTAGTTTCAGGCTAGACATCAGGAGGCGCTACTTCACTGTCAGGGTGGCTAGGACCTGGAACCAACTTCCAAGTGAAGTGGTGCTGGCTTCTACCCTGGGGGTCTTTAAGAGGAGGTTAGACGAACACCTTGCTGGGGTCATTTGACCCCAGTACCCTTTCCTGCCATGGCTGGGGGTCAGACTTGATGATCTGCTCAGGTCCCTTCTGACCCTACCAACTATGAAACTATAAGGTACCAGGGACAGGTGGGGTGAACTGCAAGGGACTGTGGGAGGGGTCAGGGGTATGGGGTGAGCCCCAACTGTCTGGGAAGATGGGGGTAAGGGAGCAGGAGGAGTAAGCTTCCTGGCAAATGTGACCTAACCCCTCCCTGGGTCCAAATGCAAACAACGGCTCCCTGCCTGCATAACAAGGTTTCCTTTTACCCCAGGTAATATTCCCCTGTAGGGTCTCAGCACTCTGTTTCCTTCGTCAGGATAGCCCCTGTGCCAGTTAGGAGAGCTTCTATATTCCCCTTGCTCTGGAGCTCTTGCCTCAGCAGCCTCCAGAGCTAGACTGATCCTCCTGGCTCAAGGCCTGTGTTTATATACCTTGCTGGCCCTGGACTTGGCCCTGGCCCTGGCCGGTCCGGTGTCTTCCTGAGCTGCCACAAGCATTTTCTGATCCAGCTTGCTTGCTCAGCCTCTTCCTCAACCTCAGGGTGATGTACTGCTGCTTGTCTCTGCTGTGCTCCTATTTTGTCTCCTATGTAAGTTTCTAGTCCATGGTGCTACAGCAACACAGCTAGTTCTGTGATAAGTAACTCCCCGAGTACCGGTTCTCTGGCAGCTCATGAGCAGCTTTCCCCACCTGAGACTCTCTGCTGCTCCTCTGCCCGTAAAGTAACAAGAGCCTTTGGCTCTCTGTTACAGCATTCACTGGGAACGGTGCCTCCTGGGATGCTGGGGGACCACTTCCAAGTCAAGTTAACCCTATGGATCAGTCTGACGTGACTGCAGCATGAACTCCCTAACACCAGCTGAAGATAACTGTCACCTGAAGAGGACCACCTCTGAGACAAGCAAAGGGTCCTTATTTTTCTATGCCTTAATGTGCGGATGCAAGCACTTAACATGTGTGAAAGGTAATGTGTAACAACACCCTTAGTGTCCAATAGGTTAATGAATTTCTGTTCCCAGGTCATCTAGTAAGGGTGTTAGGTAGATTTCCTTTGAACAACCAGAACACTGAGGTCAAACAGGTTGTGATATTTCTATGGAAAGTGTTCTCCTACCTGTTTGCTAGTGTCTCTGTCCTTTATCTTTTTTTCAGTGCCCATTCATTTTGGTGTATAGCTTTTGTTTGTTTTCACCCACATAGTTGCCTTGAGACCATTTGGATCACTGGATGAGGTATACCACATTCCGGGATAGACACGTGTATGGTCCATGGATTCAGACAGTTTGGTTGTGGGGAGTGTAGATTTTTGTGGCAGTAGATATGTTTTGACAGGTCTTTCATTTATTGTTCACCCATCTGGTCCAGCATTTGGGGATATATAAAAGTTCTAACAGAGAACTTTTCAGACATCTTACATTCAGATCATTCAAAAGCTTTTTCATTAAGATAAAAAAGCAAACAAATGAAAGACACCAGTCCCTCACTTTTAACTCATTGCATGTATGCTCTCAAATTAGGAGCTATCTCTGCCATGTTTGCAATAATTTTCTCTCATTAGAAGGCAGTCATGGACAATAAAAAAGTATATTGAGTGCGCACAGCATATTGTGCAGCTCAGTTTCTAAAACACGGCACAAACTTTTGAATGTTCACAGGTGGTAATATTTGTATGAGATCGTTTTCATAGCTACCACTGATTCCATTTGACTTTGGAACCAGAAATGTATGAGGGGTTCTTTATTGAACTGAAGTTTATATAACCTCTTAATAGCATGGGTCTGTTATTCAAAGCACAGACTGTTCAGCAACTCCTTTTTCTTGGAACAATAACTATTGGCTGCCATGAACTTTTCAGACTAGATATGTGAATAGACATAATATCTCCAGTCTTATAAGTTAAATTAAAAGTTTGCTAGGTGCTTTCAAGGCAGTTCAGAGTATAGCTAGTTCTAATGGGCGTTGCCATAATCTACATTAATTCTCATGTATAGCTGAGTGGCTCTCAACAGGAGGTGAAGTTCTCTACCTCTAAAAATCATAAATATTTTATTCCAATTAGATTTTAATAACTGAATGCCCCCACCAACTTAAGTGAAGGGCAAATGCAACATTATTGTTTGAAACTGGCTTTTAGAAACTAAATTATCCCAGCTAGTTAAAATAAATGCTACAAATACTGAACACCCTGAAATCAAGTACAACTCTGCTATTCAGTCTTAAAATAAAATCTGTCTTGTAAAGAATTTCCTTACAAAGTTTGAGTTCCTTTAAGATTAAGTTGAACTTTCTGTAGGTTTTTTAAAAACTTCAGTCATAGAATCATCAAAAGTTAGGGTTGGAAGGGACCTCAGGAGGTCATCTAGTCCAACCCCCTGCTCAAAGCAGGACCAGCCCCAACTGTAGCAGTCTTGTAACTGTCTCTTGGAATTAATGAAAAATATGTAAATATTTAAAATGCTTTTGAAGGGGAAATGTCTGGAATCCTCAGATGAACTTTCCTTTGTGGATACCTCCCTTTTTCAACAGAATTTGTATTGTTCATATTGATGGAGAGGGTACAAGTGAATGAAATGAAAATGGGGGCAAGAGTGTCAACTTGACTACCCCATCAGGGGGTGTTGTGAGGACTACTTGGTTACAATTGATTAGTACTACAATGAGGTGAAGCCTCCAGGCTGGTCATATTATAGTAGTTCCACCATCTCAGCATTATTTGAAGAATGAGGCTTTCTATTTTATGTGGTTCATATGTACTCCCAACTGCATTCTCCCTAGCTTTGATGGTGCGTGCTCTGAAAGGAACATGTAAGGTGTTTTTATTATTGCTGGTTAACAATAGAAAGAACATGTATTAAAATGTGTTTCATGTGTTCAGGGCAACATCTCCAACTTCGACATTGTCATGGAATCTGATGAGGGCACTTTCATGCCGACTGGCCTGGGTTTTACTGGCAGCGATAAAGCTCGTGGCATCATGAAAGAGATCATGCAGCTCTTGCAGCCTATCAACGTGACAGCTATTTATGAAAGTGGTGGTGGAACAGACATTGATTACTGGGTGAAAGATGGAGTACCAGGTGAGAATATTATATCAATTTGAGGAGATGACTAAGTGGGCCCATTACTATCCCTACACTATGTATCCTGGTACCCGTTACATTTAAGATGCAGTTAAGGTGTTAATCGTGCCATAAATAGTAACCCAGTCACAAGTTAAAGCCAATTTATGGCATGATGTATGTGGAATATTTAAAATCTTTGTGGCTCATTGGTATCATGCCTTAAATTAAATTTGTGGCATGTTGGAGCTGACCTATGGAGCTGAGCATATAGAAGTTTGGGCTGGGGGAGCTCCAGGGAAGCCTCCCCGATCTTGGGCTCACTGCAGCCTGGATCTTTAAAAAGCCAGTGTGCAACTGGGAGTCCCATGCCTGGCAGCTCTGCTGAGAACAGGGGATCAGAGGCTTCCAGTGGAATTTAGAGTTTCCAGTGGCAGAAGCCCTTCAGCTCCTCGCAACTCCTGCTAGGAGCCTCCAGTCTCCTTTGCCTGGCAGCCTGATGCTTCTTGAACTGGAGTCCAGGGTCTTATCCAGAGCTAGGACTGTCCCAGGCATGGCTGACAGTCAGCTGATTGTCAGCCCCAGACCAGCACTAGAGCCGTCTCAGTCGGAGTGGGGTCTGGCAGCCAGCTGACAACCAGCTGATTGTTGGTCTAGCTGAACCTGCAGGCAATCATCTTTCAATTTGTCGGTCCAGGTAGAGCCTTGGATTTTGATCCTTTGTGCCAGCAAGTAATAATGGCACAACTGGGATTTGATCTTGGATCACCCCAACTGTGTTTCCTGCCATTCACATGTAGCATGGCAGCAGGTGCAACTATTGTGATCTGGGATCAGATCCCATCATATCATTAAACGAACATATGCCAGGGGCCTGTTACATCTCAAATTCAGATTGTATTTCCTATATGGTTTTGACAGTCTGATATCTGACAACAAACATTTCCCTTGACTAACATTTGCTAAAGATGGAATGCTTATATATTTAAAAGCTAACCTGCAGAGCCTTGTAATAATGTGTATTTTGAGCTTCCATTTAATAATGCCTCAGATTATGTATGGGACAACATGTCTAAAATCTTCTTTTAGGCTTTGGGATTTATAATAATCTCTCCCAGACCAATGGTTTAAAAATAGTAGAGAATTCCCTCTGCTTTAGTCTATAACAGGGCAAAAAAGAAGTTTATGTTGAAGTACAGTCCACCTTTCACTTGCTGTTATTTAATTTAAAAAATGTATTTAAAGGACACATTTATGGGGAGTTCACTACTCAAAGAATAAAATATACAATGCACTAAAATGTATTGGAGAAAATTCATAGAAGTATATTTTAAAATAATTTCTACATTCATTCTCAGTGTTATTTCTGAGCAACATTCTTGCCTTTGACTTTGAAACACCCTAATGTTAAGCCCAAGGCAGTTCATAGTAAGAATAAGCTCTAAATCCTGTAAGATGACATATACACCTTTCCACCTGTGTAGAGTGACATTGACACTAAGGTGTACACATCTTGGGATCTGAGCCTAAATGATGTTTTACTGTGTTTTTCAGTACTAGGATAACAACAAATGTGTTTCATTTCAGCATTTTGAGAAGCTTAAATAGTTTTAGCATGTTATACTTCTTTTTCTCATGGTTTATGGCTGATGCAGTTTATTTCTGCTGTTTTGTCCCTGTCATACCACGGTCACAAATAAATATATGCTCTAGGTTTTGGAACCCCCAAGTATTATACTCATCTCATTTATGATCTTTGGGGAAGATTTATAGGTGCTTCGGTGAGGTATGGAATATAGGCTCCTTATTTTAAGGAAGATGTTGTTTGCTTTTCATTTATCTGTGAAGTACATATAGAAAACATAATGGCAGGCAGTTTGATTTATCTGGATAATTCTTTCCTTGGTTTTTAAAGTAAGATGGTTGTAGTAGGCAGGAGGCATCTTTTTAGGATCTGATTGAAAACATAAAGCTGACTCCTCAGGTGGGCACTGTGTCTGTTCCAGTTATAGACTGTTAAGTGTGGTACCAAGGTGCTGTAACCACTGTAACCCTGTCATTTTCACATCCTAGATTTGAACTACACACGTTTTACACCAACATAATGACAATGTGCTTAACTGAGAAGTGAGTCAGAGCTGCCCACAGGCCGTAGTAATGCGTCCACCTTCCTTGCTTCTGTGTGCATACATAGCTGCCCAGCACCTGAAGTTAGGTGATTTGCATGTCATTGTGATCACTTGCAGATGAGAACTTCTCGGTGTGTATGGTGGATGTTTGAAAATTGAAAGGCACAGAAACATTTCTGCAGATAAAATATACTTTGAAAGTTAAAAGGAGAAGCATCCTTTTAGGCTAAATACAGACAGTCAAAAAGTTCTAGACTGAATCGATTCAATTTTTGCAGCTTTCTCTGAACTGTGTAGATCGAACTGAGAACACAGTGAACTCAAGTTCACTTTTGAAACTAGAAAGGGAGCCAGCCCCGTGAAGGGGCCTGTACCAGTAGCTGGGGGACACTAGAGCATTCCTCCCACCCAAGCAGGCTTCATCCTTGACTGGCTGCCCAGCACATGCCCGCCCCAACCTTACAGTCTCCACCAGGGGGAAACAGCATCTCCAGCCAGGGGCTGCCTGGGCCACCAGCCTCAGAGGAGGCTCCCTACCCCTGGCAGAGTTCCCCGAGCCCTAGCACGAGTACCA